AAATAGATTTAGAATATTGAAACAAGGCATGAACCATTATGATATTGATACACAAGTGAAAATTGTTATAGTTTGTGCAGTGTTACATAATTATTTGCGAGAATACCAAGTAGTGATGAAATATTTATGGTCTATGAACATGAAGATATAGTTGCGGAGGATATTGACCAACAAATGTCCCAAAGTAACAATGTTGGTTCGTCTTCTCGATCACATGATCGAGAAATACAAGTTCAACGTGAGGAAATTGTCCATACTATGTGAGAGGATTATATTAAAGACTAGTACACTACAATTTATGTTCAATTTTTTTTATTAAATTAAAGTTAGATGAAACAATTACTTAAGTGGAGAACAAATAACTTTGTAATAATTTATTATGCAATTTTATAATTTTTTGTTTATTTGATAAGATTGAATAAACAATTGGGGCTATTTTAATAGTTTTACAACTTATGGATTTTTATGTTTATGAGAAAATATACAACACAAAAATTTCATATCGCATGTCCAAACAAACCTTCAATTTCATTTCATGATTTCATATCATGATATCATATCGTATGGCCAAACGGGCCCTTAATAATGTGTAAATGAAAGTGTTTTAGCCCTACCTCTACTGGCCAACAGCAACATCCACTACCTTCCAAAATACCAACTATAAGATTTGACATATCAGATTCTGCAACCTTTATATATTATTGCCCCCCCCCCCCCTCCCCTATCTAGTCTAGTCATAAACATCAACTTGCTATCATGGAATTGAGAAAATAACGATAAGTATTCTTTCCTTCTTAATAAGAGATTTTATGTTCAAATTTGCTTTAATGAACATTTTATCAGCTAGAAGATTGGATACACATGACACATTAAGTGAAGCGATGTCATCTCGACACTTTCTTTCCTTCTTACTCAGAGATTTTATGTTCAAACTTGCTATAAAGAACATTTTATCAGCTAGAAGATCGGATATATACATATGACACATTACGTGAAGTGATGTCATCTCGACGCTAATTTTTGTAGGTTTTTTTTAAAAATATATTCGTACATAAATAATATAAGAAAAGGAAATATTTGTAAAATAAATATAAATGCATAATATGTATTCTTCATGGTACAATGCAAATTAGTTATATAGGACGAGTGTGTTTATTTGTCACAAATTTAAATTTTTATTTGTATACACTCAAAATTGAAAAACATGACAATGTCATTTATGTATTTTATATATATATATATATATATATATATAATACATAAATAAATAAGCCATAATGCAACTATCATTATAACTATCTTGTTAGCTTTCAACCAAAAGCTAACAAGATTTTTAGTTACATATTTAATATTTAGTTAAATAATAAATATGTCATTGTATGAGCTATTTATTACTCATTACTTTTGAATTTGTTAATCTGATTTTAATCTGACACATAGTTTACGAAAGTAAATTAGATTTTGAGAAAAAACATTAAGTGATACTTCAAGTTGTCCCAGATTTTCAAAAAGGCACCTTAACTTTGTGTGCGTCCTATTACCCCACAAAATATTCAAAATCACAATAAATACACATTTTTTACACAATATTTCCACTTTGGACAAAAATATCCTTCGAATGTGCAATTTCTTAAAAACAAAAAGTCGGACCCATTATATATATAAATTAGTATATATATAAATGGCAATGTTAGTCAAGAAAGTTTTTCTTGATTCACTGACAAAACTAATCCATAGGTTCAAAATTCATTTTTTAAAACAAAAATAATACTACTCTAATAAATAGTTTAAAGGCATTTTGAAAAATAAAGTGTTCTAAACAAAAATTAAAATCCTAATTACGACACCACTTAGGAAAAATGATGTGAACATGACCATTGAGCATTCAAATAAGACTTTTTAATGTAAATTCAAATTAGCATGAATTCAGAAGAAAAGGCAAAATTTGTTTGAAGAAAACGGAAAATCAAAGAAAGGTAAAGTAAAAATATGTACAATATTATTTTTTTCGTCTCAAAATAAGTGTTATCTTTAAAAAAATATATAGTTTCAAAATAAATATCATCTTAAAAATTTAAAACAAAAAATTACCATGTTTATCCAAATTATAAATTTTCAAGAGAAACTATATACTATATTTATTAATATCATAATCAACGTAATTTTTGATAAAGCGACACTTAATTTAGGATGTAGGGGGTACTTATTTTGCTCTATTCACCAATCATAACTTATTCACTTTTTTAAAAAAGCAGCACAATTGTCTAAAAAGAGATCAATGTTGGTTAAAAGTATTAAAAAAAAAAAGAATTTAAACTAAAAAGAAAATATAAAGGTATAGCAACAGATTGATAATTGTGTCCAACTGACAAAAGTCAATTGACACTTTCTAGTACGTAGTCATTTCATTTGTTGAAAAAAAAAAACCACAAAAATAATATATGTATATATTAATAATTTATTAAGTATTATTTATATTATTGTTTATTAATTCATTAAATTAATATATAAAAATAAATTGTGAACCTAATAAATCAAAACATTACAATAATTTTTTTCTAATTAAACCCAAAAAATTTAAGTTTTATATCCATCTCTACTACTAATTCCCCCTAAATTATAGAGAAGAGAAGATGTTTTTTTATTTATTACTTTTCTCACATGGACAAATGACTTAGGAGTTCGAATATATGTAAATTTGTGGAGTTGCTTTTGGTAAGAATCAGTTTATTTCCTTTAATATATATATATATATTCTGTTCATTTTTTTTACCTTTTATTAAGTATATTTTGAAGTTTTTTTTAGTGAAAAACTAATTTGATACATATAGTATCCAAATTGGGAATTTCAGCATAAATCTGAATTATTCATTTGGATGTGATTAGAAATTGAAAATTTGTTTGGATATATATTATTTAAATTTTTATAAGTTGCACTTTTTTTTCTTTGAAAACATGAAAATCCCACAATTTGTAAAATCTATCAAACTTTCTCTACCTCTCATATAACCTTACCAAATGAGTCGATCATAACCCATAGACAAGGTACCAAAATATTCTAAGACCTCAGATTAATAATTGATATATCTTCAAATTCCTTTTATATATAAATATTTGTGGTCAGAAATTTTCAAATATAATTTGACAAAACTGTTAAGTAGTAACAATTTTTATTCATGTCAAGCATCAAATCTTTTTTTTTTTGTAAAATTTAAAGTGATAAATATTTTTTCTATTTCTTACAAAATATAAACCTATGAGCTAAATTTTATATATATATATATATAAATAAAATTGAAATCACCACTTGAAGTCAAATCCTACTCTTTTTTTTTTGAAGAAGTTGAGATTTAAAATTGAAGTTAGTTGTGCGCAAATTTTGTAAACACGTTGATTTCAACTCAAAACTTCAAATTAATCCTTCAAAATCTTATGGTCAAACAAATTATAAATATTAAAATAATGTACAAATTTCATAAATAAATACTGATCACAAATTAAAACTTCAAATTGACGCTCAAATCTTACGACCAAACATCCACTTAATTAACTTAAATCATAAATTGAATATCGAACACCAGCAAAATAAAGATTGGGTGGGGGGCGGGGGAGGGGGGGATATGTTCCCAGCTAGTAAATTTGAGGAGAATGTTGGGAAGAAAACCTTTCGTTTAAAGCTGCTATATGTTTTTATTTGTGTTTTATTAGTGTTGGGTATATATATGTTTGGAAGTGGCATAAAATTTGGGTTTTTTTTTTACTAACTATGACACATGAAAATGACTTGTCTTGAACTGTTACTACCCCCCCCCCCCCCTCCCCAACCAAATCTATGATATGAAATTTAAATTTTATTTTGATAAATTTTTTTGTTGGTCCAATTATCTAAATATCTAATATGACAAGAAAAATATGTTTTATTTAACTTTATTTTGATAATTTTTTTATATACACGATATACATATATTGTCCTACAGTTGATTTATGTCTAATATCTTGATTTGACAATACATACAACATTATTAGGTTCAATTTAATGTAGTTTTTTTTTTTTTTTTTTGTGAAAATCTATTCCCGATATTTCATCCACCTATTTATCAAAATATTTGAATTTTGTGTTCATTGTAGTATACTATATATTTACCATGTGGCCATGTTTGTAAATTAGTCCCAAGTTATTTAAAGTGGAATTTTAGTGAGAATCTAAATTGTGTAGGGTAAAATTAAATTCACGAATAACTATTTTTTAATTCATGAAATAGCTAGAGTTTTGTTATAATAGTGACTATTTTTCAATAAATAAGACCGGAGAATGTCCCATGAACATTATTTCTATAAGTTAATTACATGTTGAAAAAAATATCATTTATCAAAGGTGTACACCCCACAAATAGATTGTTTTTTTCATTTAAAGTGTCTGGATTAAAAATACATCGGTTAAATTATATCAGATTTAAATTGTTTTATCATATTTTAAATTTTATCATATTAAATTGCTTTTATTTTAAAAAAATAAAATTTTAATATTTGAAATTATGTTTACTACTTAATTAACGTATGTATTATTTATAAGTGGTCACAATAGTAGTAACTAAAATATTTTTAAAAATTTAAGCTCCCCAAATAATAATAATAACATTACATAAAATGGGACAAAGGAGTATAAAAAAGTCAAGGCAAGTGTGTGTTATTATTGAATAAAAACATTGAAAATAGCTAGTTAGAAACACAACATTTAAATCAATCAAAATTAAGGCAAACAAAATGAAATGTGTCACATAAGGAGACTTTCACAACTTGAAAATAATATTAAGACGACGATTACAATAACAATAACATATTCAGTATATTTTTATAAATAGAATCTAGAGAGGGTAATACATATCTAGATTTTACTCTATTTTGAAGAGATAAAAATATTATTTATTATAACCCTCGACGAAAACAATATAAAGACATGCATATATTATATATATTAAAGTTTTTTTTCCCTCAAGATGCACTATTTGTTGCCCTCCAGCTTAAGTCCAAAGTGAATATGTGGAAAATGTGCCCACTGCAAAAATAGCAAATATACATAAAAGATAAAATCTTGAAAAAGATATTTCTCTTTTTTAATTTCTTCTATTTTAGTGGCCATTCCTGTTTGTCCCTACCATAGTTTTTCTTTTGTGGACAGTCTAAATATTCCACATGCAACAAGTTACTTTCATTTCTTCTTTTATTGTTTTATTATTTGTCTGTCACAATGAGTTAATGGTCAAAAATATATTTAAATGATATAATATATAAATATGTCATTCAACTATTTCTCATTCTCATTTCCCATTCACACCTTGCTAAAATCTGGCCAACAATATATGCCCTTCAATTTTGGGTGTGCACAAGTAGACACAGGTGTCCTATGTGGCATAATACACGTAGGACGCCATGTAGGATACAAAATTGTCATGTAGGATGAATGTGTCTACTGGTTCAATTTTATACAAGTTTAAATGCCTACGTGTGCACACTCAAAGTTAAATTCTAGCTGCCAGCTGAAATCAAATTAAGGGTCATATTTATGTATTATGCATATTTAACTTATCATTTTTTTCGAGTTAATGATCAAACACGTACGCACCTGTTGTCGATTGGTTTCAAATATTTGACCAATTCAACATCAAAGTGCGTTTTAATACAAAGAACTTAAAGTGATAAATTTAGATAGGTAAAAAAAAACAATGACTATATAATTGTGATATGAAAGCAAAAATTATAGTTCACGTATGTTTAATTTTGATCATTGACTCTTGTATAATTAGTGTCAGTTGCGAAGTAAGATTTTCACCTAAAAAATCAAAGACATAAAAAAGTGAACGCTCGACCATCCGACGACCGATGAGTCATCCATTTAAAAAGACTCTACCAGCAGTCCCCCATACTTCACTCCTTATAGGTATCCATACTAATTCCCATTTTCATTGTGAAATGTCTATTAATAAGAAAAACGTTTTCCGCTGAAGATTTTTCTATTTTCACAATTTAAGCTTGAGACTTTTGATTAAAGGAGGACTTACATTTTTGGCAGCAGTGCTAAAAGCTTCACGATGGCTAATTTCAGGATTGGTGGCCTTTATCCTTTGGATCTCTTCCCTATACACATTCAAAACATAAATAATATAGCTTAAAAAATATGCGATCAATACTTTAAATGTACTGAGTATGTGAGACATGCATATTACATACAAATAATGAACCATGAACCAATAAATATAGATGAATTGCAAATTAGGTGGCAAGAGAGGGGTAACTAGATAGGGGCAAATCCACATAAAAGTTCTCAAATTAGTTAGAACTCAGTACCTTTAGTCTCAAATTTCGTATTTTTGTTAAAATGTATTATAATCTATTATAGTCTCAGTAAATAAAATTCATAAACATAAAATTTTGAATTCACTTATATTACTCGAACGAATAAATTAACTTAACATTATAATATTACATGTATAATATTTGTCTTTTCAACCCCCCCCCCCCCACCCCCACCACCACCCCCAAGGAGAGAAAAACTTACTTGATGAATCGATTGTAGGCAGAAGGAACACGTTGTCTTTTTTCTGGTGCTGCATAGTTTGATATATGAAAAAAATTAGAGACGGATTTAAGATTTTGAGTTTATAAATTTTTAATTGTAGAAAAGATAACATATTTAGTACTTATCTACGTACCTTTTAAGTTTATTTACTAACATAAATACAATATTTTGATCAAAACTATTGATTTTTTCCAAATTCGTAAATAAAACTTTAGCTTAATTCGTTGTTGTTTAGAAGTGTTTTTGATTTATACTATTGTTATTCGAAAATTATACCAAATAAATATGTGATGATCTAAGTGTGTGGTCATTTAGTTGCTAGTTAAAGCTATAAAGTTATTATAAATGTAAAAATTAATTATATAGGATTTAGTTATTTATAAAATAATAGCCAAACACTATACTTGATGCGCTTGAATAATCACACCAAACGTACTATATATTAACTATATATATTAATTTTAATAAATGAATTGGCATCTTCTTGACCAGCAACCAAAGGACCCTAATAATTATCATGTTATTGATGAGTTGGATACAAATGTTATGTCACAATCAACTTCAGTTGTCATAAGTGAAGAGGAAACTTCATGCAGTCCAAATATTATAGTCAATTATATCTCCTCCCTTTTCATACTATAAATCAAGGCGGGTCTAGGGATGCAAAGATGTTTATTTAATTTTTTCGATAAAAAATCATATTGTATATATAGAGAGTTTGAATTGTCTGAACATAAAAGTAGAGATTAGCTCAATGATTTAGGGGGTTTAAAATTTTCTTTGATATTTTAAATTCAAACCTCAAGTACTGTATTTTCATTTTTGAATCAACTTGATGAAAATTCTAAGTCAGACACTGAGTATACAAATCTTGTTTAAATTATGTACAACAACAGTGTAAATGCTATTTTATATTATTAGATCATCTCAAGAATATCTTCAAGTAAACTACTTATAATATGGAATTTGTAATCTTATAAATAACTCAAATTATCTGCTACAATCGATAAATATATATATATATAACTTAAAGACATATAATACATAGATACAATCTTATAATTACATACTTAGACATCTTAACTTGATTTAAATTGACCTTGTAGCCGGTTGTAAGTTAATGACACTTTGGAAGGACATGTTGCAAACAACAATTCAACAAAATATTTAACTTATACACTAATAGTATAACTTAAATTTCAATATGTTGTACTTGTACCAGGTTAACTGTCTTATTTTTCAAGTTATAATCTGTTCGTTCCACTTATTATGAACGATTACATATAGTTAACGTGTAGTGATTTATTAAGAGAGAGAGAGAGAGCGCTTACGATAAATCGGAGGGATTCTAGGTTCAAATTCAGGAGAAACAATGGAAGAATATCTGTTGAACTTGGAGGAAGATGATGATGATGAAGAACCATAAGCTTTATAATTACTAGAATTATTTTCAACATTTGTGTACTGTTGCCTTTGCAGCTTCTGCCAGATAAAAAGAAAGAAAAAAAATATTATTATGATCATAGTAATAATTAGTATAAAACACTTTCTTCTCCTCCACCAACAAAAAAAGTGATGGAAAATAATTTTTTTTTTTTATTTTCACATGATTCTTTATATTTTTACCACAAAATTAGGAAAAGGGGGGAAAAAAAAAGAGCACATGACCAAAGAGATTGTGAAATTACCCACAAAGTATATAACATTTTTTTTCTTAGTTTTGACAAGAATTTATAATATTAAACATGTCATAATATTATGTGATTATAAAATCATAAATATTAGGGTTAAACTGAAAAGTTTAAACTCATATTATCTTTAAATATAAAAATTATGTGTTGTTTTCTGGAACAAACTGAAAAGGAAAGGATATAAGCAATGAATTGATCCTTTACGAATAATCTGGATATATCAACATTTGATTATATCCAATCCGAAGCAAACATTCATAGAACTAAGTATTTCGTGTTTGAGCACTAATAAAAAGTTATGAAAATTTTATGAATACTTGTTATAGTGCGTAAAAGATTGTACATGTTATGTGCGTATATAATCGATATCACATAAAATGAAATAGAGAGAAAAATTAATATATTTACTTACTTGTACATCTTGAAGGGGGAGAGGTTGAATTAAAGATCCAATATTAACAGAAAACATATTTGCACAATGCCCACATCTTACTGTCACTAAGGTTAACATGTTGCTGCATGGAACACTAACCTGATAATATATAGATTTTTTATATCATCAGATTAAATTAATCGAAAAATCTCATATAACTATAATAAATTTCGATCATATAATGATTAAATAAAAGAATAATAACTAATTATAGTCATGAGAGTCCGAGCTGAATGATGAAAAATTATCATGTCCAATTTCCTTCGGATGAATCTATAAGAATTTACTTATTACTCTCTGTCACTTTTAAAGAGCGAAATTTCTTAACGTTTTTAATATATCAATATATATAACTTACAATTCTTTTATCTTGTTCTAGACATAAATATATGCAAAAGATGATCCTCCTAAAAGGGCTAAATTTACCATTTGTGTAACCACTATAACAATTTGCAATTACTTTAAATTAAATAAACTAGTAGTAACAATTTATAAAACTAAACTATAGACTTCTTTCTAGTTTGACTAGTAGTAACCAGCACTATGTCTATGTGAAAACCCTTAATATTACATAAATTAAAATTTGAATCTGGATCTCTATATATAATTTAAGCTAGCAATTGATCATAAATTTTGAAAGTAAGTTTTTAAAAATTTATCTTTCAAATATCTGTTTGTTCTAAAAAAATCATTAAAATTTGATATATATTCCGTAGAATTAGTTGAGGTGCGTGAAAGCTAGATCAGTTTTTGAGTTTTTGGAACTTCCACTCGGAAAACAATAAATTTTCAAAGTAAAATGCATATCCATATACAACTTCAAAAATCACAACTTCAAAAACTCAAATTTTTAAGACTCAACTTCAAATACAAGCTTTTTTGGCTATTTTTTTTTTTGTAGTCTTTTTTTTATTATTATTATTCATCTGATGTTTAGTATAAACTTTGGAGTTCCAACTAATCAGAATATGTGTGCATATGACCTCTTAAAAGGAGAAGTGTTCCTTATTTTTATGTATTACGTAGAATTCGAGATATCTGATTAAAGATGAAGCATCGTATCTCTAATCATATCTCTTTAATTCCTTTCCTTTTGGTGCTACTGACTTTTTTTCTGACCATTGCTCAGTCACTAGAAAAGTGAGAAATTTAAAGAGATAACAAGGAAAATGACATGACTAGAACAGAAATCACAGTCCAATACAAGGAACTTGAAAACTTCTATAAATAAAAAATATATAAATTAAAACAAAATTATATTATATACGAAGTACTTTTTTATATATCATATAATTCATTCAAACAAAGAACTACAATTCTATACATGATTTTTTTTAAAATAAAATAAATAATGAAGAGTAATAAAACAATACTTAATTGTTTCAAATTCCAATCATAATTATTTCTCTTGAAGAAATAGAAACAAGATTAATGATATCTCAAGAATTGGGAAAAAAAGAAAAAACATATTTTTAATTTTATTTTTTTTAGTTGATTATCCAGTGGGCAAATGTGTTAAAATGTGTGAACAGAAAACCCCACCATTCTTTATTTTTTCTCTTTTTCATTTTTGAAGGTAAGAGATCTAATGACACCAAAATTAGTTGTACAATAATTTGTGAAATTTTGGAATAAAGAAGAAGAACAATAGTTTGGATCATGCAATTCTCTTTTTTTTTTTTTTTTTTCCTCATTTGAAGTTAAATTTTCAAGATTTTCCAAACAAATGAAAACTCTAAAAAAAAAAAACCAACAACCCCTTTTTTGTCCCAAGTGAAATCTAGTAAAAAATATCAAAGAAAGATTATAAATCCAACCAAATACATCCTTTTTACCCTATAATTCATAAAAGAAGAGTATTTCATCTCAATAAGATTATGTTTGAAGAATTTCATCCATATTTACTTCACTTTAAACCTAAAAAAGACATATATTCTCTATCAAAAACATATTATTCTTTAATTTTAATAATAATAATCTATGATCATACTCATTATTAAAATCAAAATATGCCCTTGTTGTATTTTTATTTTTTTACTAACATGCATATTTTTTTAAAAAAAAAAAACTTCAAAAGGTTTAAAAACCCTAGTAATTATATATATTATCATATGCACAATAAGAAATTAAAATTCAAACAAGTTTGAAGAAGGATTAAGAAGTATTTACCACTAGAATAGTGTTGCAAAAATTACACTGCAAGTAACAAAGGCGTTCTGAGGAAGATGAAGAGGAAAAAGTCATGTCGAATGACATTTTATATTTATAATTATTTTTTTAGGTTTTGACCTATAGAACATGGATCAAAGGGGAAGAGTGAAGAAGAAATATATATATATATATATATATATATATATATATATAGTTATGTATATATATGAAGTAAGTTTGTATACAATTGAAGCAAAAGGATTGTAAGGAAGAAAAAAAAAGATGCTCAAAAGAGAAAATATATAAAGTGTAAAGGGAATTAAGAAAAAGCCTATTCAAAGGGTAAAGATAATATTTGGTTTCAATTAAAAAGATAGAACACAAAGAGAGATGAGCAGATGGATGGGATGGTGGGGGTGGGGATGGGGTGCTTGAGGGGTGGGGGTGGGGGTGAGAGAATTAGTGGGGGTATGGTTTTGTATAGTAGTGTTCTATTACAACTTGAGGGTGAGGTCTTGTTTGTTTTTTATTGAATATGTTGATCGACGGTGGTGATAGATAACGGTGGTGGTGATGGTTGTGACAGTACCTAGCTAGCTAGCTAGTGGTGATGACTGATAGTAATAACTTATAGCGGTGGTTAATCAATGATGATATTAGCAGTGACGAATGATGATTGTGGTAGATAATAGTGATATATTTAATGATAGTGATAATGATTGATAGTGTTGATTGACGATATATGGTAGCAGTAATGATTGATAGTGTTGGTTGGCGATATATGATGATGGTTGATAGTGGCGGTGGTTAATTGATGATGATATTAGCAGTGACGAATGATGATTGTGGTGGATAATAGTGATAATGATTGATAGTGTTGAGTGATAGCTAGTGGTAATAATTGATAGTGTGGGTTGGAGATATATGGTGATAGCTGATGATGGTGAATATATATAGTAACTGATAATCATCGTGTTAATAATGATTATAAATGGTGATCATGAAAATTAATCGATTATATTGTGATTAACACGGATAATAGTTATGATCGAAGATAGTGAATATTGGTGATAAGTGAGAATGGGAAGAACAACGGCGTAATAGTAGTTGATAATAGTGGACGACAGTGACAATAGTGATGGTTAGTGTGCTGAAAGTAAATTGAGTAATGATGAAATGTCATATGTGCGAAAAGTTATAATGGATAACATATTAATGATAATAATAATTTTGTTATAAAATCTTAATTATTTAAATATATTCTGGCTTATTAATGAGTGGATATAAAACTTCTTAAAAATGCATTTGATAATTGAAATTTAAGTGATATTAAAAACATAATTAATGATTAAGAGTTGAATAATGAAATATTAAAGTTTCATTAATCAATAAATATGCAAAACACGTGTCTTACATTCATTAATTTGGTGCAAACACTTTATGTAAATATTTCTTTTATTACATGAATTTAAATAGAGTAACATTATCAATGATGATTTACATTAGTTGATCTTAATTTGTTTGAAATTAAGACGAAATTATTATTATGTACAAGCATAGTACAATTAATCCAATGGAGTGATTAGGAAAATGAGAAAAAAAAAAGAAAAAGAGAAAGAAGCCAAACACCTTTCTTTAGATTTAAATTTTAGTGTCATGAAATAACCAAGAAAAAAAAAAGAAATTAAAGGTTTATCCTTTATAATATTCCATGGGTAGTAATATGCTTCGAATCCTAATTAATACTGTAATTAACGAAACAACGATGAAATTATACAAGGTCATAATTCATCCAACACAATAGTTAGAGGTGAACAAGAATTGAAGATAAGTAGTAGGCAAGCGAAATATTTGTCAATGATTAAGATATTAAGTTGAGAGCATTTTTTCCTATTTTGGGTAATTTTAACATCTATTTAATACGAATAGTAAAAAAGACGACATATCTAACATAGATAATTCAATTCAAAGCTCTTCCAAACAAGCAAGAAATAAGTGATCAAAACTTTCTCTTAAGCGTTTGACATGCGATTAGCTTAAAACACATGTCTATCGTGATATAAAATAAAATAAAATATATAAAAAGGGAAATAGAGGGACTTTAAAGTTTAAAAGATGGAGTTTGGGAGGTGAATTTGAAGGGCCCCAGGGTATGGTGGATACATGTGATTTCTTTGGTGACAGAAGTGAATTCAAGATTTAAAATTTATAAAATTTTAAATGACCCCAAATTAATACTCCCTCCGTCCCTTTTTAGTTGTCAACTTTAGAAATGACACACAGATTAAGGCAACAATGATTAGCACAGTGAAGTTACAATTTTACCCTTATGACAACTTTTCACTTCAAAATTACAACCACTTATTTGAATTCAAGTGAAATAAATTGGAGGGAAACAACATACACTTTTACAATTTTCAAGAAGTGTAAATAAGGGTATAATAGGAAAAAATTTGTTGTCCTTTCTTGATTTGTCAAAATGGACAACTAAATAGGGACAACTAAAAAAGGAAATATGGACAAGTAAATAGGGACGGAGGGAGTATATACTAATAATTCAGTTTATAACTAAATATTATTAATACATATCTATAATATGAGCTAAAGCTATTAGGTTCACGTAAACTCTAGATTAGGTAAAACTATGTATATATACTTATTAAAGATGGACGTCATTGAAACACTCTTTATCAAAAAAATTATACAACATATACAAAAGGAAACTAGTAAACCCCACATTCTGTGAATTTAAATTAATCAAATTAATAAAAGGAAACTAGTAAACCCCACGTTCAGTAAATTTAAATTAATCAGATTAATAATATCGGGTACCATATGGTTATTAAAGGGGGGTGGGTGGGATTATTGAATGAATGAGTGGGTGGGAGTCGTGTAGTAGTAATTAATAAGTGACCTTTTATTTGGTCTTATGTGATAGCGGACTAGGGGGGCGATATAGCTAGAGATATTAATGTTTTGGAATGTTACAAATTAGGGTTTTAAAAAAAAAAACAATGAGCAAGAAAGTGGTTTCTCAATGGTGGTTATATTCAACGGCAGAGTCAATTTAAAATTTATGAATTTTTTAAAAAATAGTTTTTTTTAGTTATTGAATTATAAATTAATAATTTGTAAATATAGAATAAGTTATTTAAAAACATATTTTCTAGTAGAGGCGTATCTAGAGGAGGTTCCGTGGGTTCACGTGAACCAATGCTCCCCTCTCTAGATTATATATAGTAATGTTATATTTTAAAATAAAATAATTAAAAATAGAGGTGTGAACCCACGTTAAAAGTAGCATATAGTAATACTATGAGAGGATTAAATTCTTTAAGAAATTAAAACACAGTTCTTTTATGGACTCGAAACTTAATTAATACATCATTATTTTATTGTAGTATATAGTGATAGCATGGATATATCGGTATGGATAATGTATATTTTCATAACGTATCGAAACTTCTAATTAAGATCAAAGGATATCTGATCTCATACATTTTATCATTACTATGTTGAAAATTAACCAATTGGTTATACATATATATGAGTCATGGAAGTTTGAGAAAATGAAATGTAAAGAGTTTCCTATTCTCTCCACCTCTCATTGTTAGGTGTGAGAGAGACTTGTCAAAATTAAGAATAAAAGAGGGGTCCAATAATTTCAAGAATGTAAAAGAAATCACAAGATTTAATTGTCATAGCATAAAATAGTAAAAATAAAATAGAAGGCTCAATTATATAGTGAGAGATTTGAAGATATTTTTTTTGGTTTCTCATTTGGTTTATGTGACGTTTATGACAGACAACAAACCTAAAAAAAAAGGTGCACATTACACCTTTAGATGAATTTGATATCGAAATGAGACGAGAAATATAAAAATGAGTTCAAAATCGACTGTTGTGATGTTTTTAGGGGATTAAAACCAAGTGTATAAATTTGTGTGGGCTTAGAGCCAAAGTGATAATACCTTAACTATTGAACCATAGTTGTTACAGATGGTAGAACAGTACTATCCCTCAATACGATGGTGGGGCGAATCTCAACGAATGCATTAAGTCCCAAGGTGGGATATATGACTCCCAGACGAAACATAGTCCTCTTAAAATGGGGTACTGCGCATTACTTTTTAGGTGAATCCATATCGCAATGGGAAAAGAAAGAGACATTATTAAAATAGGTTTAGAATGAACTGGTGAGACGCCTTTTAAGTTAAAACTAAAATGATAAATCTATGTAGGATCTAGGTCCAAAGCAAACAATATCTTTGACAGTTGAATCTGGATCATCCCAATTCCAATTCTCACTTTAAGACCTATATAATCCAAACTCGTTTTGAAAAGTTACTTGGCCAGTAAAATATTCTCAACTAAAGGTGACTTCATTTTAGAGCTCGTTCAAAAAGCTAAATTAGGAAATAGTACACACATTATTCTAAAGTTGTTGCATGATACGTTGCTTCCCTCTAGATGTGTGTGTTATACAAACCTTTTTTAGTAAGTCTAGTTTGTTGATATTGAATGTAAATGTGTATTTTTAATTTAAAATTCAGACTCAAATATTCTTCAAATGAGATGGCGGAGAAGGGGGTGAGAAAAAATATACATTATTAAGCAAACATACATAGGTGTAAGTTCACATACTACACATATTACATATATAGTATCATGAGTTCACTCACATTTTATGGGCTGGTATGATGTTTTTTTTTTTTGTGTGTATCAATTAAATTGCATATTTTTGGTTAATTTTTTAAAAAAGTAAAAAGTAAAAATAAAAGATTTTTATTCTTGCACTAATGAATTTTATTCAAGGTTGACAAATCATTATATCTTGAATCATGTGTTTTATTGAGGTATTAAAATCATATTTTTCAACTTAGTTATGTAAGTGTAATTAGTGAGCTGGTGTTATTAAGCAAATTAAAAAAGGACAATTAGATGCACGATGTGTCCCGCATTAATGCAGGATTTAGAGAAGAGGCGCACAAAAACAAGTATAATTAATTAATTCTACACTTTTAACTTACTATTATAAGTCACACAATTTAAATGCGTAATCAATAGAGTGAATGAGATTTGATTGATCTTGAATATAGTTGTCTATTCTATGTTAGAACACACTAGAAGCCGATGTTTTAACTATTAAGCAATATTAAAAAGACAATTTATGGCATGAAGTGTTTGTATTTATGCGATATTCTGAAAGGAGTTCTGTATTTTACATTTTTGTTAAACTAACATACCTTGACATAAACACTAGCAAATAATTTCACAATTCAAATTCATGATCTATATGAATGACATAATTTATTTTCATATTATTCCTTCAAGATCTACTTCTTTATTTTGAGCGATCTACATAAAGATATTCTTTACCACAAATGTAATGAATACATACTCTTAGGTGAATACAAATATGAAATTACGATTACACTACAAGACAAAACAAGAGTATAATAACAATATATTTAATATACTTTTATAAATCGGTTTAAAGAAGTAGAATAAATAAAGAATTTACTTTTATCTTTATGAGATAAAGATATATATTATTTTCAATGAATCTTCGGTTCAAATAATATTTTAAAAATATAATTATAAAAAAAAAATGACAGCAAAATAACAAAGTACTACAACATAATGAAGCAACAACCAACAAATAAAAATACACATTAAATAATAAGAGCCTGCACAACTATTAAATAATACTTCTACTAATTAAGAAGAAGAGAAAGGTAGCCCCTACCTTCCCCACATAAAGTGCAACATTATTATACTACCTACTAACTTCTATCTTAATCATTCGTTTTCAGACATTTTTATTTAGGATCATGCTCTTCATAAATTAAAGTTATATTATATCATGTCTAATTATCTTTTCTAACTCATATTACAACCAATCTCTCACACATTCTGATTGACACGTCTACGCATCTTATCTTCATATGTCTAAATTATCTCAGCCTTCACTTCTCTTATCTTATCAATTACAGAAACTACTCCTAACGTCATATCAATATAACTTCATTATTAATCATATATTTACACTATTATAATCACACACGTATCTAATCATCTTTATCTATAATCTATTCTAAACATAGATATTCTTAACTAATCAGTATGTCGCACCGCGCACGCAACAATGTTGGTGTAACTTGATTTAATGATACACAATTTTCAATCTACTTTTTAACCATGGGACCCACCACCTCAACTGCCAAATCACTGCCGTTAAGTTTTAACAGAAAATCAAGATCTATAATCTTCTATTCTGTTCTCCAAAAACTATACACCAAAGTTTCGATTTTTATCGTAGAGCAAAAAAAATTCCAATTTACTTGAGATAAAGAAAGCATATATTCGATTATTAAAGTCAGAAGCAACAATGGGTCATCATCATCATCAGTTAACCGACCCACTTGTCACTCTTAGTAGTAGTAGTAGTACTAGTTGTAAAAGTTTCTTCTTTTTCTTGTCTTTTTCTTGCAGAATTTGTCAATGGAACCTTTGATCTTCAAAATCAGGCTTCTTATTCTTGCTTGGGTGCATTTCAGATCTCGTTCAGGTAAACCCTATCTGCTCAAATCATGTGAAATTGTATTTGTTGAATGTGTTGTGGATAGTTTTTGAATGGAAGATTTTGTGTAATTGTGGGCTGTGGGGTGGAGTTTTTTGTTACCCTGAAGTTAAAATTTGAATTGGGTTGTAGTAAAGTTGTAATCTTTAGTGAATTTGATAGTGATCTTGATTTGTCTTTTTATGCTGACTTAAGGTGTGTCAGCAGTAGAATTGGTTTTTTCTTTCTTTTGACTGTATTTGGGATTAGTGTTATGTAGTGATGGTTAATTGATTGGAAACAGACTCTTTACCCCACTAAGGTAGCGGTAAGGTCTGTGTATAGAGTATATCTTATCCTACCTAGACCTAATTTGTGGAATTACAATGGATATGTTGTTGTTGGTGGTGGTGGTGTAGTGATGGTTAATTGCTTGAGAATGGGTGAAAGAATTTGTAAGGAACCTGAAGTTGATGTGAATTGAAGAAAATTGTAACTAACGAGGTTCTTGGATCGCAGATTGTGTGTATTTGTGTGGCAGTTTCTTGAAATTTGTTGTTGTGAGGTGGAGATTTTAATTACCCTGAAGTTGAAATTTAAAGGGGGTTGCAGTAAAGTTGTAATTTTGTGAATTGGTAATGATCTTGCCTTGCCCGTTTTATGCTTACTAGATGTGTGTCAGCAGCAAATTAGTTTCTTCTTTCTGTTCACTGTATTTTGGATTAGTTTTATGTAGTGATGGTTAATTGCTTGAGAAGGGGTGATAGAAGTAGAATTTGTAATGACCCTGAAGTTGATTTTGATGTTGTTACTAATGAGGTTCTTGGGTCACAGTCTTGCAGATTGTGCGTATTTTTGTGGTAGTTTCTTGAGGGGTGAGGCTTTTAAGTATCGTGAAGTTAAAATTCGAGGTGGGTCACAGTAAAGTTGTAATTTTGTGAATTGATAGTGATCTTGACTTGTTGTTTTATGCTGACTAGATATGTGTCGGCAGCAGTATTAGTTTCTTCCTTCTTTTAACTGTATTTTGGATTAGTGTTATGTAGTGATGGTTAATTGCTTGAGAATGGTGACCCTGAAGTTGAAGTTGATGTGAATTGTGAACCAAAGAAAATTGTACTATTTTTGTGAATTAGAAAGTTTTGTCCTTGTCTTTTTGTGCTGATTGGAGAAGGGTGAGTAGCATTCTCATTTCTCAGTGAGTTTTACTTATAGTTTCTCTTTTGCAACACTGACATTGCCAATTGGTGATGGAAAAAAAAAGGGAAGGGAAAACAAGTAAAATAAAAATAAAATACGAGACACCGAAAATATGATAGTGTAAGGACTAAGTTATTTTCTAGTAGTTTCTGGTGCTTGAAAATAGTTCCTTATATAATAGATTACATGGCTGAAAATTGACTTGGTGAAGCAATTGTCCCAATCATATGCTTACAGTTGATTTACCCTAGTTCACTTGTTGTTCCTTGGAACGATTGAGATGGAAACTATGACAATTAGCAGACATTGTGTGCTAGGTGATTGAAAATAGAATTTGTAAAGCAGGGTTGTTGATCGCTGGAAACGTCATTATAAGCTGTGGTTTGTTGATGGAATCTGTCCTGTCTTCAAATCTATTAGTTTTAGGCTGCATTGTTACACAAACACTTCCTCTAATGTAGCAAGCAGGCTCACTCTTAGAGGGTTTACTTGACTGTTTGGACTGACACATATATTTTTTAACTAATATAAGAAAGTTTAAGCCTTGAAGGTTTACTGCTAGACATAGGGTTTGCCTTGAAAATCATGGAATATTTTGTTTCTGAATGTAAATCAATTTCAGGTCCAATATCCTTGGTGAAACACTTCTCTAATAAAGATATAAAGAAAGCAACTGATGGTTTTAGGAGAATTGTGTACAACTCTTCCAAAAGAGTTGCTTACAGAGCAAAGTTTCAAAATGGCCATGCTGCGATTGTGAAAGAAGTCCGAGATTTCGAATATCAGGATGATACTGCCTTCTACAGGGAGGTACAATTACTCGGTCGCTTGCATCATCGACATATTGCTGCAGTTAATGGGTTCTCTTGCGGCCCTAAGAGGTTAATTTCCTAAGCTTTGGCTTGATGAAGTTTGTGATTTGTAGAAATGGTCCTGTGTCTCGTTGATTAAAAATCTAACTTTGAGATAAGAATGAGGAAAAATATTGGTTGATTATTTCTTGATCAAATTATGATTAGAATATAATACTAGTCCTATTGTATATTGTATTACCAGATTATACGCTTTTATGCTATCAGGGAAAAGTAATAAATATCCGTCATAATTTCTGATCATTAGAAATCTGACCTCTGATCTTTGATATCTTTTGTCACCATTTTTCTTTCACAACCAAAAGACGTGCGAAATGCCACTTACTACTGGGAATCATGGGTTCCTTCGTCTAGGAGGTAGGTTATGTAGGTGAGGCATTGTGTCGTCAAACAGAAAGAAATTTACTCTTCCATTTCTTAGCAGGAATGCTCCTATGTTAGCAGGACATTTCGTGCAAGAACTAGGTTTGAGTTAGTACACTAACTTGGCTGTGTTTTCTAGCCTAATGGTTCTGTCTCTGAGGTAACCCGGACTAGTAGCAACCGATTCTAGTAAATAAGATATTGAAAAGGCGGGTGGGTCTTCAGGCGATTTTTGTAATGAATAGTTTCAATCAAAATTCCATCGATTGTAGCTAGTGATTGCCAGGGTTGGTGTGTGATCACCAAAGGTGAAGTAACCCTTCAGATGCTCTCTCCGCCCATGCCCAATACCCCCGGCCGGTTCCGCTGAGGCACAATTGTAAATTGTTCATAGATTGCTCGATCAGGACAAATATCTTAAGCAAATGTTTAATTAGCTCACAATCCTGGCAAAATATTAACTTCCAAGAATATTTAGATTCTAGCTCTAGCGATATACTGAAAATTAGGGAACCCCTATTTTCATTTCCATGCAGTGTTCTTGTGAAATGTAATCATTTTTTCATTGGTTTCTACTTCCTTTTCTTCAGTTCCAATGGATCTCCATTCCTTCTTTTTCCTTTTCATATCCATGTTACATATGCACTACAAATAGATATGGGGCCAAACCCATAATCTTGTGTGTTAGTGCCCGAGGCTTTCATTGGGTTATGGCTCATCGGCTACTCTTTTCTTATTTTGTCTCATTTTTTAATAAGTAATCAGACAATGCAAATGCTTTTGGCTGCCCAAACGTATCATGTAATGTTCCCCAAACACCCAAGTCACGCTTTTCCAAGCTGTGGTCAGTGTTGTGACACTTCTAGATGCTTCAATCCGAGAACTGACCTGGCCCTGCCTTCATATTGCTAGAGCAAGAGACATTCTAATTGTGGCAGTGAGTTGACGGATATGTTTAATGTGAAAGATAACATTTTGAAGAGACCTTTATTTGAATGTGAAATTAAATGTCCTCGTGTCAAATTCAACATTTTGTTCCTCGTACTACGACATAAGGTCATCAATTTCTCCTTACTGCAAATGAAACTAATCAACCTACGTAATAGTATACCATAGAGTTTTTTTTTTAGAAAAAGTATCATTAGATGGCTTTATTTGCTAAGTGCAGTGGATATCCTTTTGCTTCCTACATATTCTGGATGTGAATGTTCCTTTTCTTTGGTTGCATTTCCCTTTTTCTTCTTTTGTTCTTTTGGTTTCTTTCTCCGTTCTCTGATAGCATATCTTGTCTATTTTCAGGTTTCTAGTCTTTGAAAATATGGAAAAAGGAAGTCTGAAGGAACACCTTTCTGGTAAGTTTAAGCAAAAGTCTTCTCTTTTTTTTTTTTTTTCTCTGTCTACTTTGCGTTGAATTTGATGTATGTGCTGCTATCTATATTTGGTTCTTGCAGACCCTCTGATGACCCCATTAAACTGGAGGATAAGACTGCAGATAGCAGTTGGCATCGCTGCTGCTTTAGTATGTTCCTGAAACTGCATATTGCTATGTAGTCATATCCTGATCATTTCCAATATATGCTTTTTATGTTTTTCATTTACCACATTGAAGATATAGTTAGTGGTAGATTAACTCAAATGGCAAACTCCTCGGCACAGCCTCGATATTACGAAAATATAGACTCTGAATTTTATTTAGTGTGTCCCGCTCTTCTAAGAAATGATCATCGCCTAAGTGTTGGATTACTGATTGTTGTTTATATCTTGATTAAGGAATATCTCCACTTCTTTTGTGATCCACCGATGTACCACGTTTCAGTCAGTTCAAGTACCATCATGCTGGATGAGAACTTCACAGCTAAAGTGAGCCTCGCAATCTTGAGCACCTCTCTATAGTAAATTGCTCCATCATCATATTTGTTGTACTTTTTTTTGGACCTGCTTTATCTTTTGTTAAAATAATGACCATATGGTTCCCTGTTACAGCTCTGTGATGTTAGCCTCCTTTGTTCTGTCGAAAACAACAATCCACTTCCGAAGTCTAAATGCTCCAAAGGTACAAGGCTTGCTTCTTATTATCATCACCTCAAATCATACAAGTTGTGACCTCTGTTCAGATTTTGCATTGCTTATCTTGCAGAATGTAGAGATGAGATCTGCAAACATACAATCTTCCAGCTTGGTTTACTGATCCTCGAGTTAGTCACCGGTCAATCCTCAGAAGAAGGAGGTGTTGACTTAGTTCAATGGGTTCAAGATTCTCGTTTCCGAAGAAGATCCATTCACCAGATGATTGACCCTGACCTCGGAGACAGCTATGATTTCAAAGAGCTTAAAGGTCTTTTGGCAGTTGCTAAAATGTGTGTACAATCTATTCATAAGCCTACAATAAAGACCCCTCAAATTTTGTGGTATCTCCAAAAGAAACTAGGCAGGACTCAAGTAGTTTGCTGATGACTGGAGTCATCTGTTTTCAAGATGTTCACAAATATAGATCATAGATTCTGTGAGTAGACATATTTTTTCTTTTCTGTAAAGCTATGTTGCTCAGACTCTTCAAAAATGTTATCGGGTGCATGTCGGATTCTTCAAAAGTAGTGTATTTTTTAAGAATCCGACATTGGTGCAACATCAAAACTGAAGAGTCCGCACAACTTAGTCTGTAAGTAGTCTGCTGCTTTTTGACATTGATTATGAGATTAGATCTCTTCATAGAAACAAGATCCTCTTCAACCAGACCCTTGTTGAGTATTTGCATACTATAGATCAACATCCAAAATAAGACCCCCATTAGACTGCTACAGCATGTTGTCCAGTTACTTTTGGTCATCTTGTAAAAAACAAATAAGAAACATTCTGCAGATCTTGTGCAATATTAAGTGTGAAATATTTTACCCTTGAGATTGTTACCGCATTGTTAGTTTAAATATAGTATACATAAATTCCATTTGGATGTTAATATATGAATATATAGTTTGAGACTTGAAATTGTTTCACAAGAAAATTATATTTCTATTTCATTAAAGCATCAGTTTTGACTTCCCAAAACATGTCATTTCCAAAACAACAACAGAATACAGTAAACCAAACTAAACTAGAAGCAAAGTTCAAACTAGGTAAATCTTTCTACATCTACTGTTGAGCACACTGTACTCTCTGTCCTCCACTACCAGACATCTCTTCATCCTCATTATATGCTTCTTGTTGTGCAGCTTGTTTCCTTCTCATTTCCTCCTCCATATTCACATCATGTAATGTGGTCTCCTCACATTCATCCAGTTCCATGTCTGAGTACTGTGATGTAGGTCTTGGTGGTAAGATTGCCTCCAGAAGCTGCACCTGTGGCAGGCTCAACGAATCCGGGAATTCCACGGTGAAATGAATGTACAGTTTACCCTTCATGAATGGCCTCTGGTAAACTGGCATTCCTTCATCATTGATCGCCTTGAATTGATCTGCAGTAGTTGGAACAAAAGGTTGAATCAAGATTGTTTTGAATAAAACACAAGAAAATTCAGGATTTAAACTTGATCATCGACTCATTGTACACACACACATACATATTGTTCACGTCGAATGCACTAGGTAAGTATGAAGGAGTTACTAACCAGGTTTGACAACTTCTCCAGGATTTGATTTTATGAGGAGCTGTCTGCCATCCAAGTGTGTCAATATGAACTGGAAGCCACACAGTGCCTCAGTTAAGGTCAATGTGTGATCAACAAACAGATCTTCACCCTTCCTCTTGAACTTCGGGTGTTCTTTCTGCTGGAGAACGAAAACTACATCTCCAGTAATTGTATCAGGCTGCAACAATATTAAACCAGGTCAGCAACCACCTAACGCTAAATCATCAACGTCAATGTACTAACACGTTGGAGATGACAAGATTAGCTTACCGCTTCATCAGCCTCGCCAGGGAATGTAATTTTCTGTCCATTCTGCATTCCTTTTTCAACATGGACTTCAATGACTTTCTTCTCCTGTACCACTTTTTCACCTTTGCATTGAGGACAACGATCCTTATCGTCAATTGTCTCTCCGGTACCCTTGCATTTATTACAAGGATGCTGCATTTGCTGGATCATTCCAGGGCCAAGTTGTCTGATTGAAACCTTCATACCAGTACCTTCACAACCAGAACACTTCATTGAATCACCAGACTTTGACCCCTTGCTGCAGTTACAGAAACAAACCAATACAATGTAAGAAAACATTTCCGCACTTATAGTGAAATCTCACTTCTCTATATCAGGAAATCCTTTCAACTCCAGACTATTACGTTTAACCATTTATATGCAAATACGAAAGGGCTACAAACACTACCAGGAAATCAAAGAGTACGGATATCAGAGAGATACTAACCCACTACACTTGGAGCAAATAACATTGCGTGAAAGCGAGAGTTTCTTGCTTATCCCAGTGTATAGGTCCTCTAGCGACACCTTCAATGGATGCACTACATCGTCACCCCTCCTCTCTCTTTGTCCTCTACGACCACCACCACCTGCTCAGCACGCACACTTGTGTTATTCAAGTTTCAAACAACAATAACAATTACCACACCACAATCCCAAAAAAGACAAGCTGGTGCTATTCAACTTCAAAGACGAAAAAACTAGCAAGAAAACTTGATACTCCCTCTATTTCAATTTGTTTGCCTTAAGTCCGCTAAAAAACAGACACATATTGCCTTTCTTTTTTTGAAAACTCTTCAATTTTGCCTTCTGCATAACTTTAGTAAAGATCAGAAAATTCAAAAGTCGTGTTTACCTTTTTTTAAAATTTGTATCAAATCGAAACAAGACAAATAAACTGAAATGGAGGAAGTAACACATAACAAGCATCACGAAAGCTTGGTTCATTAGATCTAACCTCCAAAAGGACTTCCACTAAAGAAGGAATTAAAGAGGTCAAATGGATCATGTGTGCCACCACCACCCATTCCTTCTTTCAGTGCTTCTTCTCCATACTGATCATAAATCTCACGCTTCTGTGAGTCACTCAAGACCTCATAAGCTTGAGCTAGCTCCTTAAACTGCACAAGAGAACACCTATTGTCAGATCAGCATAATAACACCACCAAAAGAGGATTAATTAACAACAGGAACCATTCAAAAAAGTGTAGCTTCCCACTGGCTTATCAGCCAAGAAGACAACAACTCCAGAAACAATCACCATCATGAGAGGGGAGCAACTTAAGACTACATCAAAACAAACATAACAATAAAACAGCACCAACAACACACAAAAAGGAAAGGAAAAAAACAGCTCAAAGTAGCATAAAAGCTATTTCTCCCAAATTGGAACAATAGACATTCCCAAACTTCATGTCACCTGATGTAACATGGATATATATAACAACAGGAGATGACAAAAAGAAAAAAAGGCTATCTTTTCAGGATCACCACCCTTATCAACAAATACATGGAACTCTAAGAAGCACCTCAACTAAAACACTTACACATCCTAAAAACACCACCTTTGATCATCTTAGCTCTTAATCTAAAGATTCTGAACAAACACAACAGCATAACAACAACAAAAAGCACCACCCCAACACATAAAAAGAGAGAAACCAGCTCTACAAGCATTCTTCCTCCCCCTCCCCCTCCCCCCCAAAAAAAATCTTAGAACCTCCAGTGGTTGGCTAACTGAATTTTCAGGTTATTAGTGAGTGCTTGATTCCCCACCTTATAATCCCTCTTCCCCTTCCCCCAGTACATTTCTCCCAAATTGAAACTAAGACATCCCATTCTTCAAGAAACAATGGATGAAACAATGATATAGCAGGCAGCAGGAAATGGTACAAAATTTAAAATGTACCTCAACTAAAACATTTACACAGCCAAAAATTCAGCATTTGGTAACTCTTCAGGTTAAACAAACATAACACCATAACAACAACAATAAAAAAAAAATACCAACACCACATACAAAGAGGGAAAAAAAACTCCCAAATTAAAACAAAGACTTCACCTTTCTTCAAGAATAAACAAAAAGATACCTTTTCAGGGTCACCACCCTTATCAGGGTGATTCTTCATAGCAGCTTTTCTATAAGCTTTCTTGATTTCATCTTCTGAAGCATTCTTGGAAACACCCAAGATTTCATAAAACCTTGTATTATCACTCTTTTTTTTTCCTCCTCTTCCAAACATCCTCTTCAATTTTCAAGTTTTTTTCAAGAATAGTATTAATTAAAAGAACAAAACACCCAAATACTTGACTCCAACAAGGATTCAAAAGGGGTGTATATATAGACATTTTTGAAGGCACAGGTGAAATGGGAAATTGAGAATAGTGGAGAATCCTCTAGAATTCTCTTCTTGCTGCTTATTCTAGATTGTTCACATTGAGAAAAAATAATAACATGGGAAGAATGCACCACTAGAGTTGAGGAAATTACACTTAGACCCACTATCTTATGATTTATGTTACATATTGGCCCTCTTATCCCCCCGTCCTTTACACGTGTAATTGTTGTTATGTGAAATGATTCGAAATCACGTGTATTTTCAATTTTTTCTTTTTTCTAGGTATCACGTTTATTTTCGATTTTCTCTTTCTTCTAGGTGTAACTATTGCATGTGAAATGATTCGAAATCACGTGTATTTTCAATTTTCTCTTTTTTATAGGTGTAACCGTTGCTTTGTGAAATGATTTGGATCATGTTTAATTTCAATTCTCTCTTTTTTCTTGGTGTAACTGTTGCATGTGAAATGATTTGGAATCACGCGTATTTCAATTTTCTCTTTTTTCTAGGTGTAACTGTTACTCTGCAAAATGATTTGCAATCACGTGTATTTTTAATTTTCTATTTAATATGTGTAATTATTGTTTTATGAAATGATTTGGAATCACGTGCATTTTCCATTCTCATATGTGTAATTGTTGCGTTGTGAAATGATTCGAAATCACGTCTATTTTCAATTTTCTCTTTTTCTAGGAGTAACTATTGCTTTGTGAAATGATTCGAAATCACGTTTATTTTTTACTTTCTCTTTTTTCTAGGTATCACGTTTATTTTCAATTTTCTCTTTTTTCTATGTATCACGTTTATTTTCAATCTTCTCTTTCTTTTAGGTGTAACTATTGCATGTGAAATGATTCGAAATCAAGTGTATTTTTAATTTCTCTTTTTTATAGGTGTAACTATTGTTTTGTGAAATGATATGGAATCATGTTTATTTTTAATTTTCTCTTCTTTTTTTAGGTGTAACTGTTACATGTGAAATAATACGGAATCACGTATATTTTCAATTTTCGTTTTTCCTAGGTGTAATTGTTACTCTACAAAATGATGAGCATCAATCACGTGTATTTTTAATTTTCTTTTTATATGTGTAACTATTGTTTTATGAGATGATTTGGAATCACGTGCATTTTCCGTTCTCATATGTGTAATTGTTGCGTTGTGAAATGATTCGAAATCACGTCTATTTTCAATTTTCTCTTTTTCTAGGAGTAACTGTTGCTTTGTGAAATGATTCGAAATCACGTTTATTTTCGACTTTCTCTTTTTTCTAGGTATCACGTTTATTTTCAATTTTCTCTTTTTT